AGCCAGCTTAAAAGCCAGTCCCCCCCCCAGGACCATCTGGGGTGAGGGGCAGGGGTGCAGCAGCGAACTGGCAGTGCTTTCGCCTTTGAAATGTAGTGGGGCTCTTACTACATTTCAAAAGCAGAAATGCAGTGGAGGGCACAGGGCGAGCGGGGGACTCAAGCAGTCCTCCCTTAGCCCTATGCTCCCTGCTTTTGAAATGTACAAGAACCCCATGGGGCTCTTACACATTTCAAAGGCAGAGGCGCCCTTATCGACTAATCAAGTAGTCGATGGAAATTCCATTGACTATTTGATTAGTTGATTAATCTAAATTTAACATCCCTAATGGGAAAGTGAAACATTGTAAAACAAATACTGAAAGTGGTCTTATTTCCTATATTTTGGTATAAAAAAACTTTACTGAAACTGAAATCCCAGTAGTCTCAAAGAGATTATTCACATGCATGAAGTTAAACACATCAAACACAGTATTAGATCAACGCACTATAAAGTGTGCCCTAGTTGTGAAATGTTGAACTTCCTTAAAAAATACCAATTTGGTCTGAAAATATTTTACATATTATTATAACAAGAACAGTTATGATTCTACAACTTAGAGATGAAAAAAGAATACTTTCTTCAGTTTGTTTTTATCCACTAAATAGCACTTTATGTATAGCCAGTTTCACTTGTACAATCATTTACTCAGTTTTCCATGTTTCTTTATATCTTTAATACAGCAACAGAGGACAGAAAGTTGTAGGACCATAAAAATTAACAGGATGACTCAGAAGCAAGTGCAGTATCTGAGACTATTTTTAATTTATTTATAAAAAGAACCATATTTCACACAGACTGTGTCCTTTTAAGTATCATCCGCCACTTTCTTTACTTGCTATTCATTACCCATTTTCACATTAGTTTATCAGGCCCTGCAAAGCTTTACAAAAGAATAAGTATGTACATTTTTGGAAGCCCTTGAACCACTTACAAGTCCTACTAAAGGGAGAGATGACACGGGAGTATGAGGGGAAAAAAAGAGGAGGGGGGAGGAAAGGCTTAAGATTTATTTTAAAAATCACCCATATACACTGTAGTGAATTTGACCCACTGACTGACAGGGTGTGTTGATACAGAGTAAAGTTCTGAATGTAACATAAAAAACAGTGTAATTGGTTTACAGCTTCCCCAAGATAACCATTGTTAACCACAAAGGGTGCTTGATTTTAAAATCAGAACTCTGCAGTTGTGAATTTCTGCAAATTTAACTGCAAGTATTTACATGTCTAGTTAGCTCACTCAACCCGCAAGTCGAGCAGGTGTCTAAACTGAAGGTCAGATTAGGCAGATTCATATAAACTAGCACACAATTGGTTGTCCCTCATCATAACAAAACTATATTTGGAAAACATTATTTAAAGCATTATATAAAAATGTTTTAAGCACAAAATTTCAGGATGTGTTCAGTTAACAAAAGCATTGGATAACTTGCATTACACACAATGTGCACTCATATGACTAATGAGCTCTGGAATACACTCTGGAATAATGTTTATTGCTTAAGTAATACTTAAGCAATAATAAACTGAAACTTGATAAATCATGGTTGAAATATTAAGATGACTACCAAAAAAAAGGAGTAATACTTCAACTGTTCACTCACTCTCTGTTACGAGAACACTGTCCCTATGGAGAAAATATTTATTATTTGATGACTCCTAAAAATAAAAGTACACATTAAACACTATTATAATTGAAAATTTATTTTAATCTCCACAATATAAATATGGGCCATAATACATGGGTCAATCATAGTGAATAATTATACTTTTTACTCCCTGAAAAAGGGTTTAAAAAGAGTAATGAAGTAATTCTCACATTACAATAGGTAATTTCTCCTTCAGGTACTCTCAACCTTCTCATCACTGCTAAGACACATTTAACCATCTGCTACTAATAATCATTTTATTATTACATAATTTTTTTACATACTGACGTTCCTGATCAGTTGTTTTGTCTGAAGGGGACTGGCAACAGTAACTACATATAGTTATGCTGCTAATTAACCTTCACCTGTTTCTTTAGCACATCAGAAATAACACTGCTCAGCAATGCAATGAGAGCAAGTCAATGAAATGTGCTTTTGAAAAGTTGAACAGAAGCAGTATAAGAGACACACACACAATTCACTTCATAGAATGTTGATAGTTTTGTTGACAAATTCAAAAGCTTAAAATATCTTACCACTATGTTTGGAGGTTTAATGACTTCAAGAGCCTTAGCAAGAGCAGAGGACATAGCAGTCAGCTGATTTCTAATTTGCTCAGAGGGCATGCTTTGCAGCTGAGGGCCAAGTGGGGCATCTTCCCGAGTTGAATAATTTAAATCTGATCCAAAACTCAGTGTTCGAGAAGTATGATCAAGACGAACCTTTGCAAAATAAATTGAAAAAAGATTATTAGATTAAAGCACGATGAAATATTTAAAATGAGACATTAATGTGAAATACAGTCAGTTTCAAAAAGTGAGTTAAAAGTAGTGACCTCTATTTACGTCTAGCTTCCTCATTGTGATTTTATAAAAACATTTTTTTTAACTATTACATTTAAATAATGTGTGTCTCTTCATTGTAGAACAAGCGACCCATAGCTGGAAACTGTAAAACTGAATATGCACAAAATATGAACCAATATAAAAAATGAACTGGAAAAAAATAATTCTACTATCATAAACAACTTCATTGCTGGAAGTGTGATTTTAAATTGACAGTGTCTTCAAAACCAGATCAACACACAAAGATGTACCAATTTAATTTAACATGTGATTTTAAATTGACTGATTTAAAGAGGTGAAACTGCATGTGACTGGTTTAAATTCAGCTTAAATTTACAGACACAAGATGAAACAATTAATAATTTTAAGCAAAAGAAGCTTGTACACATAGGGATTTGCCGAAGTTTAACTAAATTTGTTTATAAACCAAGTTAAAAAATGGTGCAACTTCAGCATGCGACAAGCTCTAAATGTAGGATACTTTTAAAAAAAACACCTAGATATTGGAAATTTGTCTGAATAATTAGGGAACAAAATTACTGCTGTATCTGGCTTATATTCAACAGAACAAAAAAAGCTCACCCCTAAAGAAGTGTCTCTCCAAAGTTGGAATAAAGAGAAGTGCGGAAGCATGATTGTAAGATGCAGTCTTTCAATGATTTTATGCAGGGAACATTGCATGAGGTGAAAACCAGCGACATGAATAGTTTGTGCTATTTCCCATTCATTACTGCCAGCTCACTTGTCCTACTTTATTATACTTACACTTGGCAGTAGAAACCAAGGGTATGTCTAGACTACAGGCTTTTGTTGACAGAAGTTTTGTCGACAGTATCTGTCGACAAAGCTTCTGTCGACAAAGAGCGTCTAGACTACATTCAGTTCTGTCGACAAAGCAAGCTGCTTTGTTGACAAAACCCTGTAGTCTAGACACAACCCTAAATGCAATAACACCTTCTGTTGACAGAACTCTGTCGACAAAAGGCGTTATGCCTCGTAAAATGAGGTTTACCAGCATCGACAAAACTGCTGAGTTCTGTCGACTTTATGTCGACAGAACTCAGCGGTAGTGTAGACGCAGGTTTAGTTTTGTCGACAAAACTCTGTAGTCTAGACACACCCCAAGAGTGAAAGCCCAAGTCCAATGTACCCACTAGAAATCTTGCCGCTAACTTCAATGAGGCCTTCAACTGCATGTGTTTTATTTTAGGTACTAACTAGACTCTACATCTTCCCTACATTAAATGAATGGATGTAAAGTGCTCTGTAATATATACAGTTCGTTTCTTCAAGATCATATGCAAAAATATGGTAGTGCAGGCTATAGCTCAGGATATGTTTAATACATAGGCATATACTTTACTTCCAGTGGCAATACATCTATTATCTACAGTGGAAGTTAAAATGCCTCAAGCTATCCGCTGCTTTATTTCTGTGCCTACAGATAGACAAACTGTGCATGAAGTACAGCTTTTGGAAGTTCCCTAAATGATTACTTTGGAGAGATGCCCAAAGTTTCCAGTATGGTTTTGTTAAACTTTTTGATTAGGGCATTGTCTATTATACAATCTGATCCCTTGGGCAGACACCTGAAGTTTCACTTTTTCTTTTTTTTGCACTTACATTACATACTACACTCCTCTTCATGACTGTAAGTGAGCAATACAATTCAAGAACTTTAAAACAGTAACAAATTAACCTATCAAAAAAGATCATGTCCTCAAGCTTCTCGTTCCCTGTATATCAGCATCCATTCTATATTATCGGGGTTGAGGGGCCTGCTACTTTACATCTGACCCCAGAGCTTGGCCACACATTTGAAAGCCACAAGTATAATCACACACACAAATACACTTTTTCGGTAGTCTTTTTATGGCACTTACTTGCAAGTCACAATGTCTGGCTGCATCAACAATAGCACGTTCCAATTGGAAAGCATCAACAAAAGGAACCAGGGTAGTCAAACGAGAAAAGTCGATGGTCTGATAAATCTGCGCCACCTGCACAATATAACTATTCAGTTTTCATCCCATTAAAAAGCAGGGTTAATAGAGGCGAAAATTGTTGCACAGGCTATAAAACTAGCCTGATTAACTTGGACAATAGATTAACCAAGATGTGTTTAATTATGATTCATATTTTACCAACACTACTGTAACACTTAATTCCCACATTTCATTTAATCATAAGCTAGGATCAAGTGATTTTCTTGACTAGGTCCTCTGTGTGAAAGAGACTGGCAGCAGTAACTATATACAGCAATGCTGCTAATTAACCTTCAGCTATTGTCTAGCACATCAGAAATAACACTGCTCACCATTGCAATGAGTGCAGGTCAATGAAATGTGCATTTGACAAAACAAGCCTACTTCATATCAACTACAAGGAAACAAAGGATTGAAAAGAGAGAATAAGACTGAAAAGCTAAGTAAAGGAACAAATAAATCTATATAAAAAATCTTACACCAGTGTATACCACTACTATTTAAAATAGGATCACAACTTCAGTTGCATTTAACACCACAGTACAAGACAAGAAGGGTGGGTTATATGGATGAGGGGAAAAGACTGTTTAAAAGTCATATTAAGAGCATTTACAACATTCAATGGCAACATTTTTACTTAGGGCGTAAAACAAAATGTTACATTTTTGGCTTCAGATTTTGCAAAACAATCTCAAACTCAGACACCTCTTACAATTTTTTTTTTTTTTTTAAATAATCATACCTGCTGCAGAAGACGAAGGATGGTGTTATTTTGCAGATGTGGGACATACAGTTGCAATTCAGGTTCCTTTTCAGCTTGCTCTTTCACCCAGTTTAGAACCTGTCACAATATCCAGAAAGTTACAATATCTATTTCATCTGATAGCCTGCAAAAAACTCTTCACATTTCAAGTAGAGACGTAAAATCCTGTTTTAATCAGTTAACCCATTAAACATTAGGGCAGCGTCTAGACTGGCAAGTTTTTCCGCAAAAGCAGCTGCTTTTGCGGAAAAACTTGCCAGCTGTCTACACTAGCCGCTGAGGCTGTGTATTACTACTTAAAGTCAGCCACCAAAAGCTTAGCTTAACTGCCTCCCCCAATAATCACCTTCACAGTTGCTCCTAAGGATGTTAACTAGTGGTTAATTTACTAGTTGATGGAATTTCCATCAACTACTCAACTAGTAGATAGGCACTTCCACATTCCTCCTCTGAAACGTACAAGAGCCCCCGCTGGGCGGCCCGGGATCAGCTGGGGAGTCTTCAGCTGACCCCGGGCTCTATGTGGTGCTGCCACTTTGAAACATCAAGGGCAGCATTTCAAAGGAGCAGCGCTGCACAGCTGAGCCGGGGATCAGCTGTGCGGCGCTGCTGCTTTGAAGCACCCTCTGCTTCCCCCCCTTTGCTGCCTCTATCTGACAGAGGCAGTAAGGAATGGGGGGAGGGAGGAAATCAACTAGTCAACTGACTATCCAATAAGCATTTGCTCATCAGATAGTCAACTAGTCCTTAACATCCTTAGTTGCTCCCAAAACTCTCTCCCCTGTAGCTGCACTTGAAGGGGTGCCAACACATATACCAGGTTAAAAATGCTTTTGAAAATGTATGTAGCAAAACAGGCATGCACAGCAGTGTATATAATGTTAACACAGCAATAACGAAAGTGGGCTAAATGAAGACCCTGGCCCAAAAAGTTGACAATCCATCCAACCTAGCTAGGTATCATCTGCCCAAATTAATGTTTCTCAATATACTCTTACCTTGGTTACACGGCCACATAGTTTTAGTGGGTGGAAATCTACTTCAAGCCAATTGTAAAGTTCCTTTACCTCTGGAACAACATGCTGCACAACATTGAACCTCACCTAAAGTCAACATAATGGAAGAAAAAAATATTTGTTCAAGATACTTCAATATTTGTTTCAGTATTGTAATAATTACACTCGGAAATTTTGCATCTAAGAAATTAAATATACAGCCAATGAAATGCTTAAATATATTATGCTTTAATTTATATCATTTTGTTTCCAGTTGCAAATATACATTTGCAGAACAAACAAAAAAATCTAGTCTATGATAAGTATTTTGATAGGTTAGTGCGCATAGCATGTGAGGCACTTCTCAGACAAATGAAAATAGTCCTTGCATGAGTATATTCTAAGGATGTAAAAATTAAAAAACAACAAAAAAAAAACCCACTGTGTAACAGATTTAAATTCCTGATGGCTACCAGCCCCATGGACTCCAGTGGTGGCTGGGAGTTTAACCAATAAGGTTAACTGATAATCTAATGCTTATGGATTAGCCAGTTAAACTCTTACATCGCTAGTATATCCATGAGTAAATCTAAACTCCAGCTGCACATGTTACTGCTTATTGGTAAAATCCCAAAGTTATAAAATTAAAAGTGGCAAAAAAACTGCTAGATACAAAAATAATAATGCTTAAATTATGAGAGGTAATAGGAGTTCAGTTTTCAATGGAGAAAAACTATATTTTTGTTTCCTATGAGAACCTGGAAGATATCACCAGAAGGCAAACTGTATCTTGCTAACCTCCTCTCAAATCAAAGGCAAATGTTTCTAATTTCCTAGCTCTTTGCAAACCTTCATTCAGATTAATGTACTAATCTTACCTTAGTAATATTAAAATATCTGAACTAATTAACTACCCTTCAATTTGGGAAAGCAAAAGAAATAACTGAAAATTCTCACACTTTCCAAAGATACTTGCTGCAAGATCATTCACAGCAAGCCTCTGGTTTGCTTTTTGTCACAAAATGGACAATATTTATCACTATACAGTACAATATTAAATTTCACTGGGTACAAAGACACAGAGTTAGGGTTAGTCTATCCATGTTGGTTTTCAAATGCAACAAGTCCATCTCCTTGGTCTGTATTTCTAATTTCAGCCTATTTTTCTAGCACATCAGAAGAAAGTTTATTTCTACATAGTTAAATTATGAACTTTACAGTTAATCATGTTGAATTCTTTTACTTTAATGTACTTTTTAAATTTACTGGCCTGTTTTTAACTGCAGCTCTACATCTAACTATATAGATTACATATAAAATCTTTTACTCAAACACCATTACTTACCATATCGTTAATAAGACTGATGCGTGTAGGCGGGGCCTGGAGGCCTAGCAGCGTGGCTAGACGTCGCTGCTTTTCAACAATGATACCATCCATATCCAGAAGACGAGCAATATCAGTTCGTTCCGGAGTTATAGGAATTGACAGAGTAGCCAAAAGAACTCGGGTTGACATCCTGTTGGTAAAGTATAATTACAAACAATTAATTATAAAAGAACAGAAATCTCTTTGTGTGTGCATTTTGTTGTACTGTGGTGTGTGTGTGTGTGTGTGTGTGTGTGTGTGTGTGTGTGTGTGTGTGTGTGTGTTTTTTTCCCACACACATATATTTCATGTGTAAAACAGAAGCATCCAATCAATATAAGAACTACGGGGTGAATGATGTATTCTTTCAAAAACTATGCCATACAAACTAGGGATGTAAAAGAGTAGTCGAGTCAACTACCCACATTCCTCCTCACTCCCTCCCTCACCCACCCCTTTGCTGCCTCTATATCAGAGGCAGCAAGGGGCGGCAAGCCAGTTCCCCCCCACCACCATTTCTGCAGGGGAGCAGGGGAGGCAGAGGCACAGCAGCACTGCCTTTTAAATGTAGTAAGAGCCAAGTGGCTCTTTCTACATTTAAAAGGCACAGCCACAGTGGGGGACCCGGCACGAGCTGGGACTACTGCAGTCCCAGCTCAGGCCAGGTCCCAGACCTACTCCCACTGCGGATCTGCAGTTTGAATGTAGTAGGAGGCAGGCTGTCTGCACATCTGGCTCTTACTGCATCTAAACTGCAGAGCTGCAGCGGCCACTTATCAAATTATCAAGTACATGATTAGTCATTTACTCAATTCTTAACACTCTTAATATAAGCAATGCCAGAAAACAAGACACCTCAGCAATTTTAGTGTTCAGACTAATTCTGAATGCTTCTTAACTTCTATAGGGAAGTACTTAGTTAATATCAGTTCTTATTATTCAACCTCCTAAAAGAGAATCCTCCTCTCCAAATAATAATAAAAAAAATAACCATCCAATAAAGGACTGGTAGCCAGTCCCATCTCAGTCTGTCTTTTGGTGCATAGCACCTTAGCTATGGAATAGATTTTTGTATGTCCCTAAGATTAATTGTATGCAATAATAATAATTAAAAAAAACCTCAAAGTAAATCTAACTTAATATGTTGCAGTAGTAGAAAGGGACATTAAATAAAATTTGAAATATGTGCTGAATGCCCAGATACATTTATTTAAGTGGAATGTAAACATATTCCTTAAATTATACCTTCCTACCATTTTTGAATTTACAAGGGCTAACATTTCAGATTTACAACAGAGTTCATCCCTGGATAGACAACTGCTGCTTAGTGAGTGCCCTAGCATGCTTCAGAAGCCTTTTGAACATCATACCCAGCACTTTGTCTGCCTGAATCACATAACTGGAAGGGACCTCTTGGGGTCATCAAGTCTAGTCCCCTCCATTCATGGCAGGACCAAGCACCATTTAGATCATCCCTGGCAGGTATTTATCTAACCTCTTTAAAATCTCCAGTGATGGAATTTCCACAACCTTTCCACCCAATTTATTCTAGTGATTAACCAGCCTCAATCACAGTTAGCAAGTTTTCCCTAATGTTCAACCTAAACCTCCCTTGCTGCAATCTAAGACCACTGCCTCTTATCCCCAGAGGTTAAGAATAATTTTTTTCTCTCCTCCTTGTGACAACTTTTTAGACACATGAAAACTTGTGTCCGCTCTCAGCCTTTTCTTTTCCAGACTAAACAAATTTAATTCTTTTAATCTTCCCTTACAGGTCATATTTCCTAGACCTTTCATCATTTTTGTTGCTCTTCTATAGATCTTCTTCAATTTGTTCACATCCTTCTTGAAATATGACACCTAGTACTGGTCACAATACTCCAGTGGAGGCCTAACCAGTGCAGTCTGAATGGAAGAATTCTTCTTGTGTCTTGCTTATAACAGCCTGATAATACATCCCAGAATGGGTGTGTGTTTTTTTTTGCAAAAGTATTTCACTGTTGATTCATATTTACCTTGTTATTCCACTATGAGAGTCTTAGAGCCCTTTCCATAATACTCCATCCTAGACAGTCCATTTCCTATTTTATATGTTGTGCAACTAATTGTTTCTTCCTTAAATGGAAACTTTGCATTTGTCCTTATTAAATTTCATCCTATTTTCTACATACCATTTCTCCAGTTTATCCACAACATTTTGAATTATAATCCTGTCCTCCAAAGCACTTGATACCAAACTGGGAAGGGTTGCATCTACAAACTCTAGATTTGAATGTAGTCTTTAGGCCATTATCTAGAATTCTAGATCATTAATGAAGATATTGAACAGAACTGGTCCCAAAACTGATCCCTGTGGAGCCCCACTAATGCCATTCCAGTATGAATGTGAACCATTGATAATTACTCTCTGGGAACAATTATCTAACCAGTTATACACCCAATTTATAGTAGCCCCATACAGGTTGTATTTCCCTAGTTTATTAATGAGACAGTCATGCAAGACTGTATCAAATGCTTTACTAAAGTCTAGGTATATATCTACCACTTCCCTCTTAACCAGAAGGCTGGATATCCTGTCAATGAAAGCTGTCAGGTTGCTTTGACATGATTTGCTCATTACAAATCCATGCTGTTATGTATCACCTTGTCTTCCAGATGTCTGCAAACTGATTCCTTAATTATTATGTATTACCTTGTCTTCCAGATGTCTGCAAACTGATTCCTTAATTATTTGCTCCATTATCTTTCCTGGTACAGAAGTTAAGCTGACTGGTAAGCTTCCCTGGTTTGCCCTTATTTACCTTTTTTATAGATGGGCATTATATTCGCCTTTTCCAGTCTTCTGGAATCTCTCCCATCTTCCATGACTTTTCAAAGAGAACAGCTAATAGCTCAGATATCTCTCAGTCAGCTCCTTGAGTATTCTAAGATGCATTTCATCAGGCCCTGGTGACTTGAAGATATCTAACTTGTCCAAGTAATTAACGCCATGTACGTAAATAACATATATTTACATAGTAGCTTTCAATTCAAAGATCTCAGAATACTTTAGTAACAATAACTAAGTCATGTGGAGTATTTGACCATTTCACAGAATGGAAAATGGAGGCAAGACAGAGGTTCAGTGACTTCCTCTAATATTTAGGTTTCGATCTGTGGCTAAGATAATGTAACATCCAGGTCCCATTGCTCACCTTAATTTCAAAATTTGTTGAATGTCCTTCTTGCCCTAATTATTGAAACATTCATAATTTATCCCTTTAAACAAAGCTGTTCAGTGTCTGATACCAGCCTCTCAAATACACATTCTATCTGCTTCTTATTACACACTAAATTTGTACATAAGTGGATAAAACCAGAAGCTAGGTGAAAAGCATCTCTGCCCACCTCTGCATCTCCTCTTGCGTGAGATTCTTTCGCATTTCTCTTGACAGGTGGTACAGTCGGTGAAGTGTTGATGCATGAAAAAGAGCATTTCCTGATTTCCAGAAGACAGTTGAAACTTTGTGATAGTAATTTGCCATCAGTTGAGGTTTGGGTGGTTTCTTTGACAAGGAGAATAGCCCATGAATATCCTCCACTGCTTTGAAAGCTTCCTAAAATAATGAACAAAAGAATTACTTCCAGTATATTACCTGCAATAATATTAGAAAACTAAGAGCTATAGCTTTTAGAAGCATATTTAATATATAAAAGTAAATTAGAGCTATAGCTTTTAGAAGCATATTTAATATATAAAAGTAATAGAATTTAAATATATAACTGACTGCAATTTTCAGTTTTGTCAGTTACCCAAAAATCAATATGTTCCTTTCTAACACAGAAATGATTTACACAGTTTTAAACATTTGCAATATATTTGCTAGAGCTGGACAGCAAAATGAATTATATTTCCTGGAATAACACACAAACTCCCTGCAAGACTCACAGCTCTCTCTCTGTCAGCCCACCAGGCGGAATGCAAAGCAGCAGGTGGGTGAACTGTCAAGAAACCAGACATACAAGGTTTCAGAGGCCTAGCTGATTTCCATCAGAACTTCATCAAAATTGAAAGATCTTTGCAAAACATTTTTATTTTGACAAACTGACAAATTCCAATGATAAAGTCTCTTGTCGGAATGTTTTCCAATGAGCTCCACTATTTGCCCTTTTCTCCACCTCCCAGCTAATCAACAGTGACCATAATTGAATAAAGTAGCTTACAAAAATCTAAAATATTCTCAGAAATGTTTAAGATTTACTATATTAGAAGCATGACAAATCTATATCTGAAAAAAGGAACAAACTGGAAATATTTTTCAGATTAATATAACAAAGTAGGGATATTAAATTGTGTGTAATCAGCTAACTAAGAAGTCAATGGAATTTCCACTGACTACTCAATTAGTCGGTGAAGGGGGATACTGCAGAGCTACAGCAGAGTTTGCTCCAGACCCCGGGTTGCTCCCGAGCTACTAGGCTAGTGGCTATAAAGACATTTAAAAGGCAGAGGCATAGTGGGGGGACTGGGAGTGATCTGGGCATCAGCTGCCCCGGCTTGCTCATGGTCCCCCCGCCATGCCTCTGCCTTTGAAATATATTAAGAGCCTGGAAGCTCTAAATACATTTAAAAGGCAGAGCCACAGCAGGGTTAGCTGTCCTGACTCACTCCCAGTCCTCCCTTCCTCACTGCTGCGCCTCTGCTTTTTAAATTAAGCTCTTAATACATTTAAAAAGCAGAGATGCAGCATCTAGGACTGGGTGAGAGCTGGGAATCAGCTGATCCTGATTTGCGTCTGGACTCAGCTGCCCTTCTTCCTCTCCTGCCCCCCAGACAGTGCTGGGGGAAACTGGCTTTTAAGCCCCCTCCCTCCCCCCCAGCACTGGCTCCTGCTCCCCACCCCCCTTGCTGCTTCTCTCCAATAGAGAACATGGTCCTGGTGAGCCCTGGTGTCCATAGTGGGCTGAGGGAAAGTAAGGTCAGCCAAAGCCTCATTGGGCAACAAGGAAGACGACTCCCTGATTGCATTGAGGGTTCAGTGAGTGGAGCGGATGGAGGGAGGTTGCCCTCCCCTTCCACAAGGGGTCTCACCACATCCTTACTGGGCAGATTCTAATGCCAGAATCCTCAGTAGGGGGCTGGCCAAGGGAGCACTCCTAGAATGTGTAGCCACAGACACCGTCCTGGATGGAGAGGGGCCTCGGGCCTGGTGATAGGGGTCCAAAAAGGCCACTGAGGCTGCAGCTGCAATCTAGGCGGCTAAGCCTGGTGGACCGATGGGCTTTGGTTCCAAGACCTGTGCCCTGAACTGGATCGGTACCGTGACCTTGACCTAAAGGTGGAGGCCTGGGAGTGCACTGATTCAGCCTCTGAGTTGGAGGAATATTTGGAAACTGACCATGGTGGTGCCAGTGAGCAATGTGATTGCCTGTGGTGAGACATGGCAATTGGCTTTCCCCTATGCGCTGGTCCTGGTACCAGTGGGGACATCATCTGAGCTGCCATCACCGTGGGAAGCAACTGGACTGATGGCTCGTGCTGGTACAGTTCCAGGAGAGCAACATATGCTGGTTGGAATGGTGTCCCTAGCGGCGCTGGCAGTATGGTCAGGGCTGGATCTCTGGGCACTGGTGCTGTCGCCGATAACTGGACCGGTGCCGATGGTATCGGTGCCAGAATCCTGGTCTGGACCTGCTGACATGGTACCGAGGATGAGTGTCGACTTGCCTCAGGGCATGGCGATGTAGTCAGCTTGTTGAGCTCCCATGCCACATCGAAGGTCTCGGGGATCAATGGTTGCTGAATCTCTTCTATCATGACGACTGGCACCAGACTCTCCCTAGGTGCCGAACTCCACTGGTGCCTCGCTGGCACGGGAGCATCGTGGTGTGATGTAGAAGCCGAGTGCTCCTTCAAAGGGTGCACTTGTGGCTATGCCGCTCAGGGAATCTTCCCCTATGTTGTCTTTTCTTCCCCAGTGCTGAAGACTGTGAGCGGTGCCTCGACACGGATGACTTTTTTAAGAATGTTGCAGTTTCCTGCACCGAAGCTGGTGCGACGTGCCAATTCCATCAGGATGAGCTTTGAATGGCAATCACATTCCCACTTAGTTTTGGGCTTAAAGCTCTTGCAAATTTGGCAATTTTCTATGCAATGGCCCTCACCAAGACAAGAGTCATGCGGATCACCGCAAGGTACAGGTTTAATGCATTTAGCACCTGGCTTGAATCCCCGCAGCACGGGCATTCTCGCCCCAGCCAGGGAGAGCCAAAGAGAAGGGAAAACTCCCCTCTCACTTATCTAAAACTATTAACACTATCTACACTACAAAAGACTCGAAGGACTAGTAAGAACTATGTACACAAGCTAAAAGTAAGAACAGCTATGCAACCATCACGGGTGGTAAGAAGGAACTGAGGTAATGGAGAGCCAGAAAGGGTATATATGCACCGATATATCGGCGCCACTCCAGGGGGCTCCCTGTCTGGCCCAACAGGTACTGCTAAGGGAAAAAAGCTCCAGAATCTGTGAACACGGCACTCGCACACCTAACTGGAATGAACATGAGCAAGCACTCAAAGAAGAAATTCATTTTCCATTACAAATAGTGGCTTATCTTGATGCTCTGCTTCTAGACAGCAACAGAATCAACAGATGTTTGATATGTAATACAAACATAACTCTAAATTCAACATATTAAAGTGTCACTCTACAACTCTGCATCCCCGTATACATTTTAGACCTAGGAGTACATGCTATGGAATTCACAATTTGATACCAGTTTGGGACTGAGGGTCAATGAATCTTGATACAGTATTGGTGCCCTGTTAACAAGCATACAGTTTAATACATACCTGCCACAATTCCATACTATACCTGCCACAATTCCATACTAATAGCACTATCCAGCTGTACAAGTCTTGTCTCCAAGTGCATAGACTGGCTCTCAGGATTACTGAGGTTAATTGCTGTACTTTGGTTATGGTGACGTTGGATCTGCCCTAAATGCATCCTCAGGTTATCGCAGAGTTTACGAAACTCAGCCTTACGAGTGTATTGCAAGCAAAATTTAAAAGCTGTAAAATTGAATGACACTTACGTTAGCATTAAGTTACATTTCTGTTGAATAGCTATAAAATTACCTAAAGCTTCAAAATGCATTATATGAAAATCAAGTTGTCTTGATTTGAAGAAGTCCACTGAAAGACTTTCAAGAGACAAACCAGATACTATACAGGATAATGCTACATTGAGTGCTTTTGCAGAATTACTCAATTGAAAACCTGAAAAGATCACTTTATTAGACTTTTTTTTAAATGTTCAACAGGAAACATGGTTTCTTGCTCTTACTTTGTACCAGGCTCTCACAAGGTGTCCAAAATAATTCTGAATAAAACTATCTGGGTGGCAGAATCTAAAAGTTTCTGGTTCCATGAAAAACAGGAAAAGGTTCTCATCAAACTCTGACAAAATTCAGATTATCCCATTGTGGCAAGTTACTTCAACATTCACAAAAAGGGGGTAAATTCTTGTTTTCTACTTCACCCCCTTTAAAATTATCTTTTTAAAATAAGAATGCCTGCATTCGGACACTTCTGCTCTAACTTACTACTGGAAATATCACCTTCCCCCAGTGATCAGCAGATTTATTTTGGATGAGAAAAATCAGTGTGGTAGTGAACAGTGGATGAGTGACAGGAAGATCTTTTAAGGAATAAAGGAACCCATCCACAATATACACAATTTTGGGGGACGGACAGACGGACGCATGCACACCTAGTAACTTGTAGTTGTTTCTTTTAATAGAGGATACTGATAAAAATATCCATGTTATCATGAAAATGGAAGAAGACAACCCTAGATTATTTCTTCCACATTCCCACACAAAAAACCTCTTAAGGAGATTCTTTATTCACCCATTTCTCTTCTTTCAATACTCAGAGATTAAGGCCATTAGGACCATCATGATTTTCTCATCTTTCCTTCTTCTCAGCAAAGGGCATTACAGTTCATCCAGTTATTCCTGCATGGAACTCAATAATTTGTGATTGAAAGAATAATGTTTCAACTAGTAAACTATTGCACCTTAAATAAGTTGTGTGTCAGATCTCATAAGGGGACAACACTGGCCATAAAGAACAACAAGAGGGAAATGTGCCTACTGCTTGTGATTAAGAAAAGAGATTAACACAGGTACAGCATTAACTAAATATTCTTAAATAGAGGAAACTCCTGCAAAAAATAAAACTGTTCTTGAAAGATCTGTTAGAAAAAACTACTTGCACCAGGTAAGATCTTAACTACAGATTCAGCAATCCTGTAATGAAGAGGCCTCGGGTATTTCTAAAATACTGTTTGCATTCACACAAGCCTGAGAGAGTAATCTTATTCAACAATAGCTCTATTCAAGCAAAACTAACCTTTACGTTTTCAGATGAGAACGTGCACAAACAGACGTAAATTACAGTGTGACTTAGCACATTTCATGCTTTCAGTTTACCTTGCTGAGCAATATCATGGTAAAGGCGTTCCACTCTAGAATTGTTTCGAAGAAGGTCCAAACACTGTCTGTATGATTCCCATAGAAATTTAACCCAGGGAGTCAAAAGCAGCCGATCGGTACGATCTTGAGTGTCTTCTCCACTTACAGCACTTAAGAGAACACTATAATTGAGAAAGTGACATGTTTAGTTCTCACAATTTCCACTATCATTGCTCACCTCTTTCTTATTAGGACCTGCAAAAAAGCCTAATCAAACTTGAAATGACTAAGGTTTACTGTATGTTTTACATATGCTCCCAAGACTTTGGCTGTTGGGAAGAATTTAAAAAGAACTCACATGCTTGTCAATGAATTTCAAAGCTAGATCCAGCTCAAGATGGCTCCTAAGTAGATAGCCAATGGTACTGGGTGGCACCCCTGAAAGGCCCAGGTTTCCTTGCTTCTGTCACTCACACCACCAGACAAAAAGACTATTTTGGGAACACCGTATCTAAAAAGATTTTCCCCCTTCCATCAAGCGAGCTACAGACTCATCTACCAGATTCAAACATCTAGAATTCTGTGATCTGCTCTCTTACGGGCCCAGGCTTCCTCTCCAACAAACTTGCAATGGTACCAGAGGCACCAGCAGCCAATTCAGGTGCTTTCTGGTACTGGCATATGACAAAGCAGAAGTTAAAGCAATATGCCTAAACAATATCAGAGAAAGCATTTTGTATAAACCTAGAAGATATGCAGTTAGTGACAGCTTCAATGGGTATTTGCTCAACATTCTACTTACTTAAAATATATATTTTTCTACTTCTAACTAAATCCACCTATTAGTTTAAAATCTGCAAGATATCAAATGCAAGGAAAATTTACATTTTTTATAATATCATAACACATTTTAAATTATTTGTGAATGTATATGTACTAGACCAAATAATTATTGACTTGCCAATGCCTCACCAACTACCTATTCCCTGGTACTGAACAAGATCATGCTTGATCAAATAATCATTTTTGTTAGGGTTACCTTTATCGCAGGTTATTAAACTTGTTTCTTCCACACCCTATCATCAGGCACATCTCTTAAATAACTGTGTTCAGGTTAAATCTCTCTAGTTCAGCACTCTGCTTGTTTCTTCCACACCACCCTATCATCAGACACATCTCTTAAATAACTGTGTTCAGGTTGAATTTCTCTAGTCCAGCACTCTCTGGTCCGGCAACATCCGTGGTGCAGCATGATTTTAGTTAGCAGGATGTCCACTTATCATAGGTTTCCTGTTGTCCCATAAAGTTTGTTTCCTGTTGTCCCATTAAGTTTGTTTACAGCCACAGTCCTGGGTCTCAGTGTTCTGTGTTGTTATTTAACTCTATTTTACTCCTAAATGTCTTCTAAGAGTCCAACAAGCAGTGAAGTGTTGGTTATGCTGCTAGACAATATTGACCTCCCATGGTCTGACAAATTCTATGGTTCGGCACAGGTCAGATCCTGAGGGTGCCAGACTAGAGAGATTTAACCTGTAGTTTGTTTTTCTGAAGGAAACACAAACACAAACACACCCCATAAACACTCCTTCTTAAAATCTAATTTGAGATTGACATTATTTTAAATCTGTAATTAGGCACAGATTCCGTCAACTCCCAGACACTCTCAAAACCATTTACATCGGGCACAAGGCACAAGGGGCGGGGGGGGCCACACAAGAGCCAGTGTTGGAGGGAGCCATCTTAAAAGCCACTACTCGGCCCACGGTGCGGCTTGGATTTACGCAGGGCTCAACACATAGCCTGCCACATTTACCCTACAAGAAAAGTCAGATATGTCATTTATAAAACAAAGCCATTTTTTCTAACACTGATGATTTAATTTTACTCAAAACTTCTCAAGCCTAATCACAAATTCAAAACCAGGATCTATAAGTTAATTAGAAATTCTATTTTTAAAATGTACACTTGGTAAGAGCTACACTAGGGTGTATATACACTAGGGATGTAAGCGACTACCATACTTTACAAACCCCGCACCGCCTCTGCAGGGTATACTTGGGTGCGGGGTATACAAACAAATATAGTAAGAGCAGAGTGGTAAAAAGGTAACCACAATTAAACATCCTTAATCTACACTAGTAACTTGTAGTGACAAAGCTGTGTCGATAAAGCCCAGTTGCTATAAGTTGGCATATGTGAATGCTTTTTGTTGGCACTTTTGCCAACAGAATACTTTTACCCCCAGTGAGCAGGTTTCGCTTTGACAAGAACACTCTCCTGCCAACAATAAAGCAACTCTCACACATATTCTTGGGGGACGGAGGGACCAAAAGTTTTGTCAAGCAAGTGCAAGTATAGATACAGCCTATGTCTTATCTAAAAAGATAGCAAAAGCATAACCACCGCCCCCCACAACAATCGTAAATTTGTATATTACAACAGCACCTAAAGGCTCCATATGGAATTAAGGTACGCTTATGCTAGGGGCTGTAAAAACACAGAAGAGATAAACCCTTACAAGAGATTACAATTGAAAGAATGATCTCCTACCTCTCTGGAGTTTGAATATTATCCAAATCTTCTATATCTAGCACCATCTGCTGGGACTCTTCCTTGGCAGCTTCAGTTTTTTCCTCAGCTAGTTTTAAGTAGGCTCGAACAACATCCTCCAAAGATTTAATGTTCACCTAGAAAAAGAGTAGAACGTTTGAAGTGGCTTTCACCTCCCCCCCAATGGAAAGCAAATATTAAAAGCATATATCCTAATTAGAGTAGTAAAATCTAAAGCAGGCTAAGACAGAATTAGATTATAAATCTAAGATCTAGTTGTTATTTTTATCACTTTGATTACATTTGTAATAGTGCCCAGAAACACCAACCAAACCTGGAGATCTACTTATATTAGGTTTCTGCTATCTAGACGCTAGCCCTGCAAGTTGTTTGGCAGACCGTAGCAACTTGCAGGACTGGGGATCAGGATACAAAACAATTTCATGTTTTAGGAGTAAAATAACTCTAACTTACATCATGCTGTGAGTGGTAAAGAATGAACAATTCACAAACCCTACCTGTTGGCAAATGTTCTTGTACTGATACAATCCTTCCTTGGCCAAGTGACTCTTGCGGAGGTCCACACAAAGCTCCAGGTACTTCAGCATAATTGGCTCGTGGATTTTTTGCCATGTTCGATGTTTTTTGCTTTTCATAACATCATAAAGAACATCGAGGGCAGGTTGTTTCTTGCCAACCTCAAGAAATTCTGAAAACAAATTCTTCATCAGATCACTTACATATGCTAAGCCAAAGAAGTTCTACTTACGGTATGCATTTTCTCTATTTCCCATTGTAATTTAGAATTAAGCAATAATTGTAACAGTCAAGGTAAACCAATGGTCACATTTAATTGGCAGATCTTATTTTTCTGACTGGAGTAAAAATATCAGTGATGTAATTATGTCTACACTACAACATAGCCCTTGGCTCAGACTCAGGTTCAAGCCCAAATCTGCTTTTCACCCGTACACTTAAGTCAGACAGATCTGGGCTAGTACACGCTCAGCAGTCCAGGCCTATTGCTTGGCAGTGGGGAGGACTTTGTGCCAAAGTCCCACTGGGACTCGAGTCTTAACTATCATTTTGCAGCGTGGCCACGGGTCAGGCCAGGGTTCTCAGCATGGTGTCTTCCAACGCTATCTCACAATCCGATGGGCCACGGTCTCCTGACCTTTCTAGGCCAAGTTCTGAAAATTGACACTCCCTCCCAGGTTCAAATATTTTCTGTGTTTAATCCTTCCATTTTATTCTGACTGCTCAACTGAACTGCAGGAGATTGAACTACCTCCTGCGTTAGCTATGGCCAACATTAGGAAGTCCTTTGCCAAACATGCTCGTACACCTGGTCACAGGACCACAGCCAGATTCTGGTACATCTTTAGTGTGAGGAAAAAAAGACGTTTGATTCTAGTAAGAATACTTAGAAATAACCACATGTGAAGCTGGCAGTGTTGGGGATTCAGTGCAGAGGATAGATCCAGACACAGTATCGGACAGCCATCAACAAGAAGCATACTTCATCCTGCCTCTTATGACCACCAGGTGCTGGGAATTGTGTCAAGCACTGAGCCAACTAATCAGCTAGGATGGTGACCTTACGACCTCCTGAATCCACTACAGCACCAGAAGGGACTCAGGTGCTCATGGCCTGTCCCTAAGGATACTTTGCTCCCACAGCAGCTACAGCACATCCTGGGGCCATACTCACAGGACCTGTTTGCTAACTTCCTAGAGGAGCAGCCCACCACAGAACAAGCAGTAGAAATGGAAAAGACAAAAGTAGTCCGAGGCTTGGTAAATTTCAATATCCATGACTGTTATTAATATACCAATGAGAGATTTCTGGTTTATGACTAAGGTTAAGATTTTGTCTCAGCTGTTTTTAGCAAAAGTTGGGGGAAAAGAAGGGAACTAACAGTTGGAGACCTGACATGGTGACTTTCAACTGCTGTTCCAGCCCCAGCCATCCCACTGAAACTGTTGTTGCAAGCTGCATACACATAGCAGTATGTATCTGCTAATGACAGACTGTCGCAAAGTTGCTTAGGAGCACTAAAAGCTAGCACTTCCCTGACAGTACACAGCATCATATAAATTAGCTATGCCAGAGCATAATAAGCTGCCTTTAAATGGAACTGGCATAAGAGGAACATAGTTCATGTGTGATGAATTAACCATTGGAAATAATCTCAGGGGGATAGCTCTGTTAGTCTGTAACTGAAAAACTTAAAACAAAAAAAACCCAAATAGTTCTGCAATACCTTAGAGACTTAAAAAAAAATGTAGATGGTATCATAAGCGTAAGGTTGTGCCCACAAAAGCTCACGATACCATCTACATTTTTGTTAGTCTCTAAGAACTGTTTGAAATAGATCAGGTTGTTGTATGCAGTCCACAATATCTGCTGAGAATGAGGACACATTACAGGTCTTAGTTGCCTAAGTATATTGGGGGGGGGAGGGAAAAGGGTAAACTGCATTCAAAGAATGCTATGGAGCAATTTGTATCGACCACACAATTAGTCAATAAGGGGAGCTGCTGTGCAGAACTGCAGTGGGGGCAGCTCCCAGAACCCGCGTGAGCCAGGACTGATTAGTCCTGGCTCTCGCTGGTTTCAGACCACTGCTGCGTTGCATTTCAAATGTAGTAAGAGCCACTGGGCTCTTGCTACATTTAAAATGCAGAGCCGCAGCACAGACAGATCCCAGAGCCGGTGGATCTGGGACTGACAGAGGTCGGGGGAGGTGGCACCGCAGAGCTGGAAGGAATCAGCTTTTAAGCCAGCTCCCCACTGCAATAGATCCTGTTTCCAAGCGACAGGGAGTGAGTAGTTGAGTACTCAACTTGACTACACAATAAACTTAGCCTTATCAGGTAGTCAAGTACTCAACTACTCACTCACATCCCTATTGCATTCCCCATTATTATGCCAGAGAATCCTTGTGATATGTATATAGTCCATGAATGCAATTAAGAGTCCATATTGTCCAAGGTATTTGCATCTAGTAGTCTATGGACTACATATATCTAGACAGGCTATATAATTATGTGCTAGCTGCATGGGGCTTTCAGAGAAGCAGCAATCCACATGGGAGATAACATAGAATTTTGTTCAATTCCCAGATAGCTGCAAATTTTTCCCTTGGTACAAACACCAAAAGGAGAGTCACATTTCAGAACTGGGTGTTTTTTCTAGGCCCTCTTCTTCAGGTCACCAGCCTATTCAACTCAGATGTGTGGTTCACTTGCTGCAACTTGAAAACCTCTTTAGCATAAATGGCTGGCTTGCCACCAGCACACTAGAACAGAGTATCCCTTTGACATTCAGCAATCTCCAAAACTGTTATGTTCCAAAATACTAATAACCTGAAAGGATAGTGAACCTATAGGTAGTGAACCACAGCAAGTTTATTTCCATGGTTTATTTCCTTGCCCTCCAACCCCAGGCTGAAGTGATCAGCAATTTTTAAAGATAAATTTCACCTTTTTGTCACGTGTGAAGGCTTTATGTATAATGCTTCTTAGTGTTCACAGAGCATTTAGGAACTAAAATTTAGCTTTCTAAACACACTGATGGAGTTATTTTTTGGTTTGGAGATTCTAAAAACACTTCTGTAATACTGAAACAAACCTGATTGCTTTCAGTTTTTAAGCTGGTCTCCTTCTGCATGCCAGCCACAATCCAGAAGGAAGTTGGGGTTTTGCACTATTAAAATGTAGTCAAAGAGAAAGTGTGCCTGCAACAATCTCATGGTGAACATTCCGGATAAAGGCAGGCACCAGTACCAGAGGGAAAAAATCATGACACAGTAAAAGGCAAAAAGGATGCAGAGTGAGAGAAGAGACTGCCAGTGCAGTTCTTTGAGGGGGAATGTTATGAGAGAGAAAGACCTCGCTGCTAACAGCTGCAAGAGTGCAGGCTCCTGGCTCCACCAGCACCTGTTTTGCCAGTAGCATTATCCTGCAGACCAGGAACTCTTTGGACAATTCTATGGTTGTGAGACCCATGCAACCAGGACCTAATCCTAACTGGGATGGGAAAATGTACACAGTGCAAAGTCCTCCATCCTCATGCAGCAGCTTTGAGCGCAAAAAAATGCCTTCAAAGGACAAGAATGGAGGGGTTAGGGACACTCAGACGTTAGAGACGTTCAGATTTTTTTTTTGTACTGGTTTCATGGTTTTGCACTGCTCGCTTTTTGTGTATGCACATGACTTTATTTAAATTCTCTTTTGGTCATTTCATGACAGCTGGCCAGTTTACAGCCTTGTATTACAGAATGACAAAGGTGTTGGATTCATTAACAAATGTTATTATCAACTCTAAAGATGAATTGTATAAAATAAATGTTAAAAAAAAAGGTACAAACATGATGAGGCATAGTGAGAAGTTGTATGCAACAAAACATCTCATATTTTCTCAAATCCGTAAAAAACACAATTCATGGTAGGGATGTAAAAATATAGATAAAATATTAACCATGTAACCAATAAAAATTCTGTTACACTGTTAACCGTGGGTTAACCAGTTACCCATTCACATCCCGAGTTCAATGTGTGTTTCTTGATGCTGGAGGGTCAGGGCAAACTGCTCACAAAGCTCTAGAAATGTTGTTTTCTTCACACACAAGTTCTGGGCCCACTGCTGGACATCCTATGTCTATATAATGAGATCCCACCAGTTTCTGCTTATGGCTCTGTTCCAAAAGTGCCAGTCTACAAAAGGAGCATCAAGAGCCACAAGCAGCATTTGCCACTTGGAGTTTGCAATAGGGATATTATCAGCTAGTTGGCAAACTGTTTAACCAATAAGTGATTGCTTATCTGTTAATGATCCTGGTTAACTGAAACAACCCTCCCTCCCTGCATGCTCTGCATTTAAAACTTGGACCTGGCTGGCTCAGCATAGGGCAGCAGGTGTGAGCCAGTCTGCAGAGGGAGCCAGTTTAAAAACCAGCTCACACCTGCCATTCCACATTGTTGCCTCTGTATCAGCAGTACAGGGCAAAGGCAGCCCCTGTCCACAAGGGGCTGGAACTCCCAGTGGATAGATGCCACTCCAGCATCCCACGGACCAGCCTCTGTCAGCGGCAAGCCCAGGTCCACAATGGACAGAGTCTGCTGCCACCCTGCACTGCTGCCTCTCTGATACAGAGACAACAGGGGATAGCAGTGGACTCCCCAGGAGTGGGGCCAGGAGCACACTGGTTGCCAGCCCCACCCCTGGGGAGGGAACATTCTTAGTAACTGTGTAACAGCTAAGAATTGTTGCAGCTACACAATCACTAAAATAAATTATTTCTAACATCCCTAGCTGCAATATTTGTATCATTTTCCTCCTCCAAGAGGTGTTTTGGGAACACAGAAAACGACAACCGAATGCCCAACACTATCTCCTGGATGAAAATGCCAGTTTCCTGAGGCAAAAGCATAAGCAGTACAAGTTCTTCAAATGGTGCCTCCAGACTGGCTCCAAATGCCTGGAACATGCAGACCCAAAGATGGCTCAGCTAGATGTGCTGATGAGCAGAGGCAACTTATGGTAAAGTGCTGCTGGCTGGAGAGTCAAGTTTTCCCATGGTGCACTATAAACCAAGGGCTACTGCTGGGGAGGGCACTAAACAGCCTTGGATAGGCTGGTTGGACTTGGGTCTGTGCAGTGCACTTGGACATATTAGTGTAAGTCCAAAACGCAGACCTAGAAATTCTAAAACCACGGTCACTATGAGCTTAGAATCAC